AGATAACATTGAATGCTTTTGAAAAACAGAAGTGTCGCTCTGCTTGCCATATAGAGAGGGAATGAAAATGAGAAGACTTCACTGAGATACGGAGAGAATGTTGTGGTCAAGTGATTCACAGCAGCAGATGTGTTCGATCCAAGATGCGGAATGCAGACTGTGAGTGATGATAGGTCGGCTGCTGTATTTGACTGGATTCCTGGTCTTTCAGGAAGGGCAGGGGAGGAGCATCGCGAGGAAAAGGCAGGCTTTGTCTGGGTCAGGCAGGAATGGGGCTCCCCCACACCTTGGACATGTGGTTCTTGAAGCCACAAATTGTTCACCTATGAAACGGGGATTGGTAATATCCACCTCAAGGGTGTGATGAGAAGATTAGAAAGGATGTAGGAAAAGAACATGCAAGCTGTACTCACCCTGTGCACAAATGGTAGCTTCTTTATTCAGGGCCGGATTCATCAGTTCTTCCTTCAGGCCACACTTCAGAGTCTGGTCCAGAACAGGGTCACCGAGTGACATGATGTTGGTTGACTCAGGCTTGGGGGTAAAAAAAAAAAAATCTATAGATAGGGTTCAGATAACAACTTACCTTATAAAATATTAATAACATGGAATTTAAATAATTACTTAAGACAGCTTATAGAGATGTTTGAAAAGAAAGAGTTGGGACTAGTGGTACTCAGCTTGCAAACATAGAAGTTGCCTCTTCAGGTGACCATCAGGCCAAACATGGAGCCGGTATCAGTCCGCCATATTTTACCATTACTGGATTTCAGAGCTGGGGCTGCCTGAAGTGGGGCTGCTGAATACCACTTCACTCAAGAGGCTCACTACCACCACGCAGCGGCCTAAGAATGCAGACCCACCCCACCGTGCCTGATCCAGGTCTTCCTAATGGCTGATTTCTTCTCTCCCCATGACTCTTTCTGTCTCCTAACATGTGGTGATGGTGACTGGTTTTATTTCATATTTTTATTGTAATGTTAAATGGTGTTCACAGATTCCAAGTCTGATTAGTTGGCTGCTTACTTGGCATTAGATCCTGCTTACTATTTTAAAACAGCAGAACTGTGCATATGGAATTCTGTAAGATTAGGGAGCTGTGTCCAGTGTGTTTATCAGGGACTTGGGTGGAGCATGGGAGCTGCAAAGCTGAGCGAAGTGGCTCATATATGGTGTGACAGGATCAGGGTTCAAAAAGATCTCGACAGGCTGGTATTCCAGGCCAAAACCAACAAGAGGAAATTCAGTAGTGATTAATGTTAAGTCTTGCCTAAGTAAAAATGGGAGAGAGCTGGCTCTACCGTGGTTATTTTGAAAAAGACATTATTTTGAAGAACAATAACTTATGCTTCTAGTTACTACTTTTACTTGTTTACTTACTCCTTTTATTGAGATGCTGTGTGATCTGTTATATGTATGGTATTTTATTTAAGTCCTGTTGGAGTATAATTGTCATCTCCACTTTATAGATGAGTTTTGGAAAGGTTAAGAAACTTATCCAGAGTCACACAACTTTTAACCATCATGTGATACTGCTTCCACAGTGAGATCCAATAAATGATGTGACTGAAAAGGGAAGGGAGGAAGGAAGAGAGGGAGGAAGGGAAGGAGAGATGAAAAGTTAGATTTCATCAAAAGAAACCTGGATCATAGGGGCATATGGGTTATTCTCAGATACGGTGTTGTATTCTGGACACTACATTTTAAGATTAAAATTGTGCCAGCTTAAGTTTGCGCAGAGAGAGAAAATATTTGTGAAAGAGCTGGGACAATTGAAGGTACCAGATCGTTTGAGAAAGCTTGGGAAGGATTCTTCTGTAGAAGAGGATTGAGGTTCACTCTCTGTCCACTGCTGTAGAAGAATGTCAGTTCCTGGGAAGCAGGTTCTGTGTCTCTGAAGGAAGAATACACAAGCATAAATGTTCAGAAATGACCCTAGTGGCACTTTGCTCAGCTCCAGTGGGGTTTTTTTGTTTTTGTTTTTTTCCCTGAATGTTTGTTATCACCATGCTGCTGGTATCAAAGGGAAAAGAGAACTGGGTAGAAACTGGGGTTATCATTGCTATTCTTTGGAAAAAGCAGAATATGTGAGAAGGACAGGAAGACTGGTTGTAGGAAGTAGCAGTGGGGTTTCAGAGCAAATCTGACCACCTTCATGGCCAAGGACAGGAGAAAAACTCCAGGACCCCTCTTGAGATGTCATTTTCTCTGTTTTCTTAGGGGAAAATTCTTGTACTGATTCCACCAAAGAAACCAAAGTCCTGCATTTATAACTTGCCTATTTTAGTTACTTTAGAATCCAGATTCTTTTTTTTTTTGTAAGTAAAGGTGGGGAAGTTATGGAAAGAAACCTGACTCTAACTATAAACTGAACAGATGGGATAGTGGGAATAAAAACAAATTAAAACAATATTGTAAAGAACTCTCAACTTTCATTTAAAAATATATATGATGATGTTTTTCAACTTTTCACATTCAACCTATCAGTGTATCGAGTGACAAAATGAAAAATCAATTTCAGCTGTGTGTATTTTAAACATTTACCTAAATGATTTAGACTTACCAAGCTAAAAGCCCAGTTGAATGTATTAAACTGCTTATTGTATTTTTTATGAATCAAAACTTTATTTTATACTAGGTTATAGACAGGACACAGTTCTATTTGGTGACATTTAGTGTAGAAAATCGAACTGAACAGTGGTCTAATTAGAACAGTAAATAGCATGGGTTTAATTAGCCCTTCTTCCTGATGACAGATTTGATCCGTTGCCAGATATTTTTTCTTTCCTTTCACTTGACTGTTCCTGAAATATTGCCTCTGGTAGGGCTGCCTACTGTGCTATAAATAGGTGGCTTGGCCAGAAGCCAGGAAACCCACTGACCGTGAGACGCGGGTGAAAATTATTGGAAAACCTCCTGGTTGCTTCCCGCCTTTCTTCGTTTTACTTTTGAAGGTCCTCTCTACAGATCGCTCTCTTAATTAATTTATTTACTTTTGGTTGGATGAGGTAACTAGGCCTAAGAGCCTAAGGAAATGTGTGCAGTTATCTAGTGGAGTCCCCTGGTTCAGTTTATGAGTGGGTCAGGGTTTCCTTCGTAAACTCTCCTGGTCTCCAACCTAGAACTTACCTATTAAGTCCTGTCCTTCTTCAGCTTTTCTGTATGTCAACAGGTTGCGGCTGGGTTTGTCTGCTTGCCAGTTTTCAATTAAGATTTCCATTAAAATATTAAAGTATTCACTTTTAGAAATCTTTACAAAGTGCAGAGAAATGGAAACAAAACAAGTGAAAATCACCCAGCATCTTCCCACCATGAACATTTTAATTAACCTCTTACTCCTTTTCCTATGCACGTTCATGTTTACCAGTGTTAAACAGGATACAGGCTGAACAGTCTTCTATAATGGCTGCCTTTTATCCCTAAAATATTTTTTAAAAGAAACTTCAAAATCCATAACAGTTCAGATAAAGCTAACATCTGTCATAGCACCACCTGGCTCCATCAAATTTAATGTTTTGTCATATCTGCTTCAGATCTTTTATGGGAGGGCTGGGAGGAGAATAAAACGTTCAGTTGGCATTCCTTTTGTCTCTTTGCCTGGCATCGTTCACCCCAAGTCCCGCTTCCTCCATTCTTAGAGGCAGTTCGGTGTGTTTTCTTCTAGCCCATACATTTGTATTTTTATGACTGCATCTTTTGGCGTGGATATTCATGTACTCATACCTTTATCTATAAGTGAAGAGATGGAAAATGCTATATGTTTTTATTTTAATGTAATTAAATACATCAGCCTTTTCCTTTATAGTTTCCACCTTTGTTAACATGTCTGGGACAGTCTTTGCTATATCAAGTCTATATGAAGATTAACCTATAACTTTTAAAATATTTTATGGTTTCAGCATATTAAATATTAGTCTCTGATATATCTGGAATTCATTTTGGTGTATTTTGTGAAGATGTTATCCATGATTTTTGTTAAACCATTCATCACATTGACTTGTGGTTCTATACTGCGTCCTTATACTTGGGTCTGTTTCCAGGCTCTTCTTTTTTCAAACTTAATAGATCTGAACGCTTATCGCTATGCCAATTCTGTACTCTTTTAATTGAGGCAATTTCCCTCTAATTTCCCTTCTTTTACAGTTTTTTTCTTGGCTGTTGTAGACACTTACTCCACCAGATCAACTTTAGAATCATTTTGTGAGGTTCCAAAATAAAATCCCCTTCGGGATTTTGATTGGAGTTGTTATAAGTTTATAGATTAATTTGGAGAGAATTAAGGTTTTTATAGTATTGAGTCTAGCTATTTAGAACCATGGTATGTTTCTCCATTTATTCAAGTGTACTTTAGGCCTCTTCGTAAAGTTTTGTAACTTTTTTAAAGTACATATCGTTTCTTTTCATACCTAGATCTCCATCTATCTATTTAAACATTTTAACTCCTCCTCTTCTCTTTTCTCTAGAATATCCTGATATAAGTCAATGATGCTGAGTCCAGAAGACAAATTAAACCAAACTGTACTCATGATTGACTCTTCTCTATTTTCTTGGAATAGAGCCTCTTTCAGGAAGTTGTAGAAATCCTCATGCAAAAAAGTTTCCTTGGAGTTAGCACCAAGTCTTTATGACAGATAGTTGTGAGAATTTCTTAGGTACAAGCTAGGACCCTGCTATGTAAGTTATAAAGCAAAATAATAATAATAAATATGATTTATATTCAGCCAATGTATTTAAATTTTGGAATGATAAAATTGCAGATTTAAACCCGAGCTTAAAAGCCATCTGTACAAAACCTTCGTAAGGTGGAAAGGTACTCATGTGCCATTAATTTCTATATGAAACCATCTTGTGTGTGTGGTTTTTTAAATGTAGCCATTCCAAAGCAAAGCATTTTTAGGCACTTTGTGAACAGCTTAGAATAAGATTCTGGAAAAACGGGAAGCTTTTGGAATATTTCTAGCATATTTGTCTATAATTTGTTGTGTCTTTTCATTTTTTAGACCTCAAGAAATGCTCGTTCAGATGAAGAAAAAGATAGCAACTGGGATGCTTGGGGCGACTGGAGCGACTGCTCCCGGACTTGCGGGGGAGGAGCTTCCTATTCTCTGCGGAGGTGCTTGACCGGCAGGTAAGCGGCGGCTTTACCTGCTCTTCTCTGTGGGTGTCAGTGCCTTTGGATGGGTGAGGTTGGGAAGGCAACTTGGCCTCTTGGCTTTGGAAGGCACCGTGATGGTGGTGCAACACCTGCTGTGTCTAAATATTAGTCAGCCTCAGGTTACCATATTTAAATAGTGATGGCCTCATTTGCATGAGTGTGGCCATGCTCGTCCACAGGAGACTCCCAGCTCACAGCAGCCAGGGGCACCTCACACTCTGGGCTTTAAGGGAGGGAAGGCTGGCATGCTAAGTCACTGGCCCAAAGCTGTCAAGACTTGGCGTAAGAGTTGTTGCAATTTTAGACATTTTCTCTTCATTTTCTCTGAGCAATCCATTGATCAAGAAGGTAATGTGGATACTAACTACTATATATAAAATAGAAAAACAACAAGGTCCTACTGTATAGCACAGGGAACTATATTCAATACCTTGGAATAGCCTATAATGAAAAAGAA